GACTCCGACTACGACTACGACTACGACTACTACTGCTACTACTGCTACTACTGCTACTACTGCTACTACTGCTAGCCACCCCCCCCCTCCCAACTACACTTGTTCCATCCGGGCTGGGCAGCGGTAGCTGCTAGGCACCTTAACTGCGATAGTTGCAGAAGATGCACGGGCTCAGGCTCCTTATCAGTGACAGCTGCAGAAGTTGCAGAGGCTCAGTTTCCTTAACTGTCACAGCCGGTGAAGTTGCAAGGGCTCAGGCCCCAAAACTGCGACAGCAGCTGGAGTTGCAAGCTCGACGGGGAAGAAACTGATAAACCCCAGGTGGTCGGAGAGTACGAAAACGCTGTAAATACCGTGCAAAACCCAGCTGCTGCCAAGAAGGGCTTAACATTTCAGAAACCTGAAGCGCAACATCTTCTAAACATCAAAAACAAAGATGCCAGCTGTACGTGGGAGAGGCTCGCCAACACCCCTACCGCCCAACCTCTGCGTAGGGGGGGTCTGTTTTTGAAGTGGTGTGTGTGGTGTGTGCGCGCTTGAGTGTGGAAATATTGTTCAGGGTGTCCGCAAAACAGTGTCGTGATCATCCCCGAAGAAGCTTTCCCCCACCCAATTTCGAGTTTTTTTGCAAACAGTTCCCAACAGCAAAGAAAAATACACATAGTCGAGAAGTAGGGGCTCAGAATATGTAACAAAGTCTGACATCACGAAAGTACCGTAAATACCGAGTGAAACGGCTCTTGTGGTGATACTGCTGGGTGTGTTCGCGTAACACTGTCGTCATCATCCCCCCCCCCACCCCCCCACCCACCCCCAGAAGCAAGTCCAAAATCAAGAGCCCGAGTTTGCAAACTCGACAAGTCGATTTTAGGCCTCTTAGGATGATCGCACATGAGGAAAGTGCCGTAAATACCGAGTAAAATGGATGTTGTCTTAACATGGTTGAGAGCAAGTGTAGTTGGTAGGGGGGGTGCCTACTGCTACTACTGCTACTACTGCTACTACTGCTACTACTGCTACTACTACTCCTACTCCTACTCCTACTCCTACTCCTACTCCTACTCCTCTTCCTGCTCCTACTCCTACTCCTAGTCCTGGTCCTACTCCTACCCCTACGCCTACGCCTCCTCCTCCTCCTCCTCCTCCTCCTACTCCCACTCCCATTCCCACTCCCTCCCACTCCGCCGACTCCTGCTACTGCTACTGCTACTGCTACTGCTACTGATACCGCTACCGCTACCGCTACTGCTACTGCTACTGCTACTACTACTAACTGCTACGACGACGACGACGACGACTACGACTACGACTACGACTACGACTACTACTACTACTACTACTACTACTACTACTACTACTACTACTACTACTACGACTACGACTACTACTACTGCTACTACTACGACTACTACTACTACTACTACTACTACGACTACTACTACTACTACTACTACTACTACTACTACTACTACTACTACTACTACTACTACTAAGGTATGAACCGCGTTCCGAGCAGCGGTCGAACAGCCAGCGCTGAAAAAGCTCTGAAAACGCAGAACCACCGCTGCGGTACGGCCGCTCTAGGTGCATTGGCCACGCCTGAGTACTTGCAAATGCAAGTGAGATGTAGGCGGTGGAGGAGCCCGCTGCTCATCAGGTAGTTACATGTATGTCAGTATAGTCAAGTACTGGCTTTGTGCTCGTGCTGGGACTGTCTTTGCCTGAACGAATCTGCAGGTACGGCAGGGGGCCATGGTGGCATCACAACGACGACCAGGACTAGATTTGCAACTGCAACGTCTTGCGTGTTCCATGCAAATGCTCACGATGGTGATGCTAGAGACTTGCGCGAAGTTGCATGGGGCATCGCCGAGACCTACATGTGATGAGTTGCCTTCAGGAGCTCCTCTCAGCTACTGGTAACACTGGTAACAACAGCAGCCGGTGTGAAATCTATACGCTGGTACACAAAAATTGAGAAACCGTGTGCAGGTCTTGTGGACTTGCAGCTGGGGCACCGCCAGCACTCCCAGACCAAGTAAGGCAGATCCAGCTGCCAAGCGGTACCTTCACACAAATACCGAGTGAAGCTGCGGGCTTGCGAATCTTTATAGGCATTGTAACACCTCAGGCAGCAAGAACACACCTGACTTGATGACCGCGCACCCCGCAGATCCTGCACCCTACGCTTGCTGGTCAGGCGGCCCTGGCTTCCGTGCTAACGCATATAGGATGGCCGGCAACCTAGGGCGATCTCACACTCGATCAAGAAAGTGATTCAGATTCGTTGATCGCGTTCTGAAGACACAATCCAAAAACTCCGCTCGTGCGGCTGCGTCACTCTGCTGCTATTTCGGCGACGACTACCCACAACGCCATTTAACTCTTATAACTTATAACCACAGCTGTCATTCCTAGGACTGCCAGTTTTACTGCCATTGCGTGTATATCCTCGTCTCAAAGTGCAGTGCTGCTGCTGCTGGTCTGGAGTCGTCCATGTTTCGAACCAAGCAGCGCCGCAGGACCTACGAAGTAGCAAGCCTGGCGGCAAGCGTCGCGTAGTTTGCAGAGCTCATGGTTCAGTCGCAGATCTTGAGAAATCTTGTGTGAGCAGGATGCTGTTGAATGCTCCTTCTTGAAGGGCTGCGTGAGTACTACGCAGCTACTGACTTTGGCATCTCCTTGGTACTTTTCTTTGACGCGAGTTACCAAAAGGAACTGCAGCTCAGGACGACTGTAGTGAGCAGCGTCGGGCTTCTTTCGGATAGACGCACAGTATAGTGTGGTCTCCGACTCGGAGTTCTCGAAATTGTCCGGAGCGGGAACAGTATCAGTAACAACCGACCCACAACCGTCAGCATCAACAATGAAGGCCAGTACATGAGTACATGCCATCGTCTTTCGGTACTCGGATAGTGAAAGTCGGAAGCTGCTGGCGTGAGGGCATGAGACGACGACTCCAGTACTAATTACTATTCACTAACTACTACTACTACTACTACTACTACTACTACTACTACTACTACTACTACTACTACTACTACTACTACTACTACTCCTACTCCTACTCCTACTCCTACTCCTACTCCTACTCCTACTCCTACTCCTACTCCTACTCCTACTCCTACTCCTACTCCTACTCTACTCCTACTCCTACTCCTACTCCTACTCCTACTCCTACTCCTACTCCTACTCCTCCTCCTCCTCCTCCTCCTACCTCCTCCTACCTCCTCCTACCTCCTCCTACCTCCTCCTCCTCCTCCTCCTCCTCCTCCTCCTACTACTACTACTACTACTACTCCTACTACTACTACTACTACTACGACGACGACCGCCTATAGTGACCGTCAGCATCATCATAGCAATCGCACGAAAAGACATACAAATGCGAAATAATGCGAAAGCTAACATCACCACACCAGCATTTACAAGTGCGGAAGTCGCAAAGATGTAGGTGCCTGAAGCACAGAGAAGAAAAGGAGGCTGAGCGGACTGTAGGCACTTCCTCGGCTCAAGCTCAGGAGCTCCGTTTTGCAGTGATTAGGCCCAGGCATCTCCAACTTCGATGTCACCAGAGATCCCAACAAGAAGTGACCATAGCTCAACTGAAGCCACGCGCAATGCTGCAAGATGCTCTTGCAGCCAGGGATCTCAACTGGAGCCACACGTCGGAGAGGCTGGGGGTGATGTTGCCTCGGCCGCCGGCCCGTGTGTCATCCATTCTCAGGCGATGCTTCGGGTCCAGTGCAAAGCTGCGAAAGAGAAAGAGCACCACGTGGTGGATTCCGCAATGCCCACTGCGGCACTGCGGAAGCTTCTGAGTTTTCGAGTCCACTCGGCCCAGCCGGGCGGCGGAGGCGGGGCAACCGCTGCGCGCTCGGCGAGACGAGGTAGCCTTCCGGGTGCAGGTGACGCGTGGGCACCTGAGCTCCAAAAGCAGATCGCCAGACCCGCCTTTGTGTGACCCTCTAAGTCCTGCTGGTCCAAGAATTACATGTCCGCTTGTCGTCTCTCACCGACACGTTTTCAGGCGGAATGTCACGAGGCCACTCCGGACTTACTCTGAAACTCAGAAAAAACGAACGCAAGGGATCCACACCAATTCTTCCATGCTGTAGTTGCCACAGGCGCCCAGTGTCGTGCAACGATACTGAGCCAGGTGTAACTCATCACCACCCGAACAAGCATGGCCAGCTTGGCGGGTAGAAAAGCCTCAAGCCAGATTGTTTCGGAATGTTGCGTCTCAGCGATATTCTACTGCCGTTCTGACTGTGACAGCTGCAGACAATGGGAACTAAGTCACTGCGAAAGAAGTCTATGCCGTTCCTCTGTCTCGCCGCATCGAGGACAACCACAGGTATGCGTCGGGTGCAGGTGAGTTCTTCGCTAGTTCGGACGCTCAGCTATTGTTCATATACGGGGTGTAGCTGAATTGATGGAATAATTGATATCCGAGACATTCGTAGATATGATTTGTGAAGTGTCTCCACTTTTCTCGCCCATTCTTGTGCAAGTACAACTAGACTCACACCACAGGCTCAGAGTTCACGGTGATAGGCCGGTTGGCACAGGCACTGCAGCCGAGCCGCCGGTTGGTGAAGCTCGGGATACTGCCGGGGCCTTGCAATCACCTGAGTCGTGGCAGCTTGCGGCTTTTCCTGCGAAGTTCGGGACGGAGCATCTAAATCTAATCGCGAGGTCTCCACAGGTGCAGACCAAGGCTCTGCCCCGAGGCAAATCGGCAGCAGCAGCCCCTTCACTGCAATGAAGCTGGTTGTGAAAGCGCCCAAACCTCGGCTGCTACGAGGCAGCACGCGACACTCCGACGCCTCGCCAGGCCTCGCGGCCTTCCGCCTCCGTCTGTTGGGATCAAGAGGCAGAAGCGCCAGGCCAGGCTGGAAGGGGAGAGGCCGACCTTCGGAGGCGAGTGGCGCTCGCATGCGCTCGCGCCGCTCCACAAACTCGCCTATCTCTCCACTGGCACTCTGGCCTCTGCCAGCATGCGCAGAAGGTCCAGGCAGGCCGTCGGAATCTCTGCAGACAAGAGAAGCGGCACAATCCAGCCGGTGCCTCTGAGGGTCTTGGGCTCAAGAGCACGCATCTGGGCTAGACTGTCTGCTGCTACGGTGTGTCCTTCTCAAGCACGCCTGGCTAAGCACAAAAATTGATTTGACGGATGCGGGTGTGGAAACCCCAGAAGGCCTTGCGCACGGAGGCACGACCAGTGCTTGACGAAATTCGCCAGTTCGTTCACTGCAAAGAGCGGATCCGAAAACAGCTGACCTTGAAGACTTGAAGGGACAAGTCCGCTGCGCTGAAACGGTCAGCTTCGGATAGAAACGCAGTATAGTTTCTGGCTTCCAGCTTGCGCTGTCACCGCCCGCTGCCGGCACTGCGGCGTGTTCCCAAGTCTTTCTTAAGTGGCGGCACGCTGAAGCCGAGCGGCTCCTGAGCGCCAGCAGCGTGTAGGATGTGTATCCCAGGGAGAAGCACAGCATGGCTTCAGAGCCGACTGCGGAAGTCCACCTGGGCTCCGACTCTGGAAGCCATCAGGCAAAAAATCGCATGAGGCTCGGCTCGGCTCGTCTTTATAGAGGGGCTGGGCGGAATGAAATGGTTTCCACACTTTCCACGTCAATCTCTTCACTGCCCCAACTGTTTCAGCTTTTCTTCATCCCTAGAGTATGCCGACAGCCTGGAGCAACATTCCCTGAAGCCCAGCAAAACGAACCCTGCCATCTCCTGGAAGAACTGGCAAAAAGAAAAAGAGGATTTGGGAGTTCGTGAAGACTCAAAGTGTACAGTATCCCTTGAAAATCCTTGAAAACTCCGATCGAAACCTCGCAAAACAGTAGCTTACTGTAGGCTCCGGACCGATTGCTCAAGAGCTTTCTCAAGCTGAAGACGGAGCAGCTGAAGGCGTGGATAGCAGAAAGCATGTAGTGCTCTGCCACCTTCACTTCAGAAGTTCACGCCGCAACAAGCTGGCATGCCAACCTCATGACTTCATCCTTCCTGCTTCTCACTGTCTCTTGCTCCTGTGAGACGATCTTCTTAGCTGTCAGCACTTGGACACTGAGCACTGCGGCGTCCGACCTTCCGCTTCATCATTGCTTTGGGCGACGTGGCCGCCGAACGGAAGACGGCATCGCGAAGGATCAACCTTTCCCGAACATAGCCGAACCCTGCACCGTTCGCGACGAAGGCTGATTCCAAGGAGCCGAAGCGCGTGGAAGCTTAAAGAGCTGCAGAGCGTGACCTGAGATTTCAGAGCTTCACTCTACCCAAGCATGACACCTCAATCACCAAACATGAACTTCGCGGTAGCTCCCCCAGGCTTAACTAGCGGATTCTGGAGGAGTCTCTCGCTGTGAGAAACAGTAAGCTGGCAGGAGATAAGTGGCGAATGCGGTCCCCTTTCGCGTCAGCGCATTGACCGCGCCAGGAGTGTCATCCACCATGTCGGAGTCGATCAGCCGCAGAATCTTGGTGATGTTCGTTTCCTTCTCCTGATGCATAGACTAGCCACAGCATGAACCCTGGCTGAGCTCAGCGTTTTGCAGGCAGAACGGAAGATCAGAGCAGAAGTGTGTCATAGGGTGGCCTGACGTACAGCAGAGCCTGCCTGGAGAGCCCTCTGCGGAAGTCGAAAGCGTCATCTCAAGCTAGAGCCCACAAGGGATTCGAAATTTTCAGCCAGTTCTGCCGATACCGATACAGCAGAAAACTTACAGTGGGCGTGCCTTGGCTCGGGGCTAAATGGCTTAATTAAGCATCATTGAAGCCACCGAGCGTCCCGCTTGCTAGGAGACACCTTACGCTCAGGCTCAGCATTTTCCTCGGCATCCTCAGCTCCACTGGCTCCGCTTCCATGAGCTTCGGCTTTGACTCTCCGCGTTCCACCTACGGCATACCTATAATAGTAAGCCGACGGTCTTCGCAGCAAATGAGCTGGCTCATGTGCACTTGATCTGGAAGTTGCAATCCAGCGATTACGTAAAGCCGAAGTTCCAGTCCCTTATGGCCGAACAACATAACTTCTGCATGTCTTTACCTTATTCGTCTGCATACTTACATAGTTCATCACTTTTACACACAACACACAGACAGAGACAAAGTCGCAGACAGCCTGCCAACAATGACTCCAGACATACAAGAAGGTAGGCAGAAAGACACAGGGACACGTATCAGTACATGCACACACTCATCTGTACTGCAATGTAATTACCGACGTAGGATGCAGGTCACATGGCGCGCATAGCTGTGAGTGAAGCCAGGCCAGGTGTCGGCAGGAGCTTGAGCCCGCTCTTCCCAGGCCGACGGCTGGTGAAAGCCAGTGACCGACAGCAGCAGCCCCATGTTTCAGGGAATCCAGATCCTGGACCGCATGTCCTGCATAATTTGACTGTTTGACCTCGTGTGCTTGCAGGCAGTCCAGTCACATTGAAGGTGCCGCCATTTACACTAAACCTACTTCACTACTTCAACATACTGACGTACTGCCTCTCCTGCATGGGATTACCTTGATACTCTCCGAAACCGAACTTGGGTGGCAAGAACTATAAACCGGTCCGTGCACGCGGTGAGTCTTCCATGGTAGGACTAATCCACATCGTCTGCTCTCTTGAGCCTCCACAACAAACGACAAACGCGACAGCCTCATGCGACCTGCATGGCCTGCTACAAATATGTCCTGCCACATGTACTGCCATTAGCACCAAGCCGTCACCGTCTCAGTGCAGCATCAATGTTTCACGCGAGATTGCATTCTAAACAAGAAGTCTCAGCTCAGTACCTTAACGAACACGAACACCCTATCCTTCAAACGTTCCTGATAACTTTGGGCTGAGCCACCAGACTCTTTGACTGCAGCTGCCTCCTTCTTGGCCTTCGCAGTGCCCGAGCGCGGCTTTGCAGGTGCCACAGCAGCCTGGACGTCCCACACTCCCACACCACAATCAGAAATCCAATCCATGCTCCGTGGCAGTATCGGCCTTCGGGGCGGGCATATCCTGCGCGGCCTGAAAGGGCATCTCTTCATTTGCGAGATGGGGGCCTCAAGGCCCCAGGGCCTTCAGCTAGGCCACGGAGAAAAATTTGCGGCTTTGACAACATACTGTCTTAGCTGAATGTTCAAAAAATTTCTGCCATCCGCTGCACTGCGTAACGGTTCTTGGCCTTTGCGCGGTCTCTCCAAGCTGAGCCAAGGTCCTGATGCTCGGAAGGGAAGGCTTTTGACAAACTTAATACAGGTTCCAGCTGCTCTGAAAGGACACAGGGATTCTCATTCCTCCGGCCTCCTCCGGGTCTCGATCAAAGAGCTTTTGGTTGGCAACCTGCGCAGACGGGAAAGGAGAAAAGGTCCCTTAAGGAAGCGCTCGGCCTAGCCTGCCAGCCCTCTGCATCTGTTAGGGCTGGGAACTTGTCGTGATCCTCCAGACTCAAGCAAGGCCCGGTTTCTGCTTCGCGGAAAAAGCTCGCAGAGAGGCCCCAGCATGCATGCCAACTTCCAGCGGAGGCAAGCTGGGCAGTGGTGCCTGCCGAGATCCGGGGGGCAGCCGCAAACAGTTTGACAATGGCCGTAGATCCGACTGAGTGCCTCGAGAGGCTCTGCGGCCAGGGTGAGGGCCAAGAGTGTATCCACGGCATCCTCACCGAGCTGCCAAAAAAAAGCTTCAAAAGAAACTGTTCTTGTGCCCTTGCTTTTCTCGGGCCTCAGGGCACTGTTGGCTTCACACTCGCAGGTCTCAGAGCGAAAGGCCCTCCATGAAAAGGTTTTCTCTATTTGCATCGGATCTTCGACTCGATGCCTGCGACAACTTTGAGCGTCGTTCCACCAGAAAAGTTCGAAAGCTGAGGCGGCCGGGTCCCGATCCCTTCTGCAACGAAGTACATTTTCTACTGTGGGAGCCTCTCAAACATGCAACACGCCACTAACCGGACAGGACAAAAACTTGGTGCCGCCTCTTACCCTCCCTGGATGCCCCTTGTTGGCATGCTTTTGCGCCCAAATCAAGGTCTCAAAAGCAGCGAAGTCGGAAATGCATGGTGCGTCGTCCTGGGGCGTCTGAGCCTCTGCGTGGATTGAGCGAACGAGCTCCGCGTCCAACGTCGGAAACATTGCCTACCAGATGCAGAGGCCGTGCCCCGTGCAGCGCATGGCAAAAGCAGGTCTGGCATGAAGGCTAAGAAAGCACTTCTCCGGTCAAGAACTGCAAGCTGCCATGTCAGAATGTTGGAGAAGAGCGTTCAATGGCAAACGGCCGACCTCCAGTTCACTGGTGGAGGCGAGGTCGGGTGCAGCGGCAGCACCTGCCAAGCCGGGAGGAAAAAACGCACCATTCTGCATGCCGTACGCAGCTTGAAGACAACTGCTGGGGCCATTCGGCCCTAATATCATGTACCATGTCGTGCTTGAACCATGTCACGTTGGGTCCAACACCGGGCCAAACCCACTCCGAGTCGTTCACACTGCTTGTGACACCCGTTTCTGACCAACAGCCGGTAACCGCTCTCAACGTGGCCGGAGCAGGAAGCTAGAGCAGCTAGAGCTAGAGATGAATGCGTCCCTCCGAGGCAAATGCGTTGCTCGTAGGCCTGCTGCAGTCGGTCCAGTCGCTCCTGCTCCTGCAAGTCGGTGTTCACAGCCATGGTTCTAATAAGCTGTGCTTCTACGACTTCCATGATGACCGCCACTGCCACCACCAGGCCCCCCTTGGCAAGCAAAGCTGCAACAGTAGGCACAACCGTGGAGTAGGAAAAAGTGGTGCTGATGTGGCTGGGCGCCAGCCGTCTCCTGCGCATGACCAGTTCGCACAAAGCATGTCCAAGTAGCGGTAAGCGGTATTAGCAGCAGCAGCAGCAGCAGCAGCAGCAGTAGTTGTAGTATAAGCAGAAGCGGAAGTCTAAGCAGAAGTCTGAGTACAAGTAGACGTAGTAGTAGTAGTAGTAGAAGTAGTAGTAGTAGTAGTAGTAGTAGTAGTAGTAGTAGTAGTAGTAGTAGTAGTAGTAGTAGTAGTAGTATTATAGTAGTAGTAGTAGTAGTTGTTGTTGTAGTAGTAGTAGTAGTAGCAGTAGTAGTAGTAGTACTTAGTAGTAGTAGGAGGAGGAGGAGGAGGAGCAGACTACACTACTGCTACTGCTACTGCTAATTACTCGTAGTGCCAGTCTAGTCCTACACTTACACCCCTACCCCCACCACAAGTACGAACATTGGCGCCGCAGGCTGCTGGCGCTTAGTTATGATGACGACGACGACAGATCCGGAATTTTCCCGCTGTTCTGAAAACTGTTACACCTCGACCGTGTCCCTGCACGCCTCGTCCCGATGCAGCTGGCCTTGGTGTTGAATCTAAAAAGTGGGGCTTGTGCGAAGACAGGCGAAGCTGACACGCGAACAGAACCGAAATCCCGGCATCGCTCTCTCCCTCGAATGCGGTGTTCCGCTTGAAAAGATGCACGTTGAATGAAATTAGTGGTCCAGGACCCTGGCGGCAACGGTTCTCGAACTCTTCACGCTGTGCAGGATTGGCGGAAGGCTGCGCTCCCGGCATCAGCTCCTCAAGGGTCCAACGGCAGATCCCGGAGATTGCCCCACGATTCCTTACAGTAGGGCCTCTGCAAGGTCTGTGGGGAGGGTGCTGCATGGCTTGAGGCTTCGTACGTTTACGACACGCATAACCACGCTGACATCCGGAATCGTAAGGCCACAAACACGAGTAAGATTGCAACGAACGGCAAGAAACGATAAGGTTCTGAGCCCTGGAGAAGAAAACGGAATGGCATCAATACCTCCGGCGACGGCCGTGTTAGGAATTTCTTGGGCTAAAGCCAAGCACCCTCAGGTTGACGTGCAGCCAATGAGAGCAATGCTGGCTCAAGAAAGTTGAAAATACTTTGAGGATGTAACAGCAGTTGCAGTGACAAAAGCAGTCATCGTCGTAGTACCAGAAGTAGGTAGCCGAAGGATGCAGGGGTGGTATTAGTATCTCATAGCAACCCATTGAGACCGTGCCATTGTTCGAGTGTTCTCTTCATCGGGTGAGGATAGAAACAGTGTCTAAGGCGAGTCAATGAGGCTGGATAAAGCGATCTCCGACTTCGCTCCGGCAGGTCGAAGAGGTTGACAAAAGGCGCCCGGCTCCGTTGCGAGGCCTGCAAACATGGCTGCTCCGTGCTGTGCTGAGTTGCTTTGCGGTGAATTGTGATAGGGGTGTGGGTGGCACTGCTCTGATGCTACCGTACCCGGCGAAGCTATGCACCAGAGAGAAAAGCACGTCATGAACCTCGTGCACCTGCACATTTTGAGATGGAATGGTAAAGGGCTTAGACAGGAACTCAAACAGCTTTAAGTCGGTGTTCCGAGAGGAAACTCAATTTTGAGTGACTGGTCGACACGACTGACTGCCTCTTTCTGTGTGTGTGTGTGCGTGTTGTGCAATATGGTTCGGAGGTGGGCATCGGCTCCGACAGGAATTTCTGAAGGCTTGGAAGACGGACTCTAAAGACTGGAACTGCCTTCGTCGTTGAAGCAGCCGCCATATTGACCAAGAGGCTTGGAAGCCTGAGCCACCCCGAAGGTAAATGTTGAATCAACTAGGCAAGGAAAACCCTGATCACAGATGACAATCCACGTAACAACCTCGGGCACATCCTGCTGGTGAAAGCTGAGATGCTTGTTTGATGGTATGCTGGTGGCACTAACCACCATACGTGATATCGCTCTTGCACGGCATAACACGGCAAGTGCGAATCCCCGGCAGGCTGACGCAGCGAAGCCATCCCTCTTTTCAGTGCAACTCACACTGCTGTGTCCCAACGTCTAGTACCCTTATCACTCCAAGCCGGAAACTCCCAAGCCACAGATAGTGAACTGAATCGTGATAACAATCGACACCCTAATGATACAGTAGCAATGGCACTGTCCATGGTAATTAGTAGTGAAGGCAATAGCAACAGTAAGAGGAACAATGACAGTAACTGTCGGTGAGCCGTGCTACTACACAAATACACACAAACATGCAACTTCGCCTGCTTATGAGGAAGACGTAAAACGTTACCGTGGTGTAGAAGTCGTCGTCGTGGTTGTGCTGCTGGTGGTGCTGGTGATAGTGGCCGTCGTGGTGGTGTCATAGCAGAGTCTTAATCATGCTCACAAACAGAAGACCAGTCAGTAGACATGCAACTAATTCGAATACCAGTAGTACGGTATATCTCATAATCATCATAATCTCATACTAAACTAAACATCACAACGCCAAATGCTGCTTCCATGACGACACTTCGTTGTTTCGGCAGCTCTGGTGCTCCGCGACACTACGTGAAAACTGGGGGCGAGGCGGTCTCAGTGTAGGAACTGTGAGACAGAACTAGATGGTCCAAACGAGATCTCTGGCCAAAGCAATGTCTGTTGCAAGAAGCTGAGAATCAAGTTAAGGGTGGGGTGACCACTCGATGAGATCTCGCTGGGCCAGGCGCAGTTCTGCGCCAAAATACTAGGCTTTTGGCTGAGTAGAACCGAAGAGCGCAGGAGCTGATGCGACCAAGCATCCGACATCAACGGACATTTCCGACAAGCTGCGCGGACCGTACCGCCGTGACGGCTACCCGAAGCAGTCTAGAAGAGTGTCAAGCCATCGATGCAGATTGAATTGAAGACTCCATTTGTATGCTTTTTCTCAGAAACCTGTATATTACGGTATCTGAGAATAAGGGGGTTTTGTAGGGCCTTGCCTCTGAGTCTGACCGCTTCACCGCATCAATGAGCTTCTGCCCGTCCTGCCACCAAAGATCCCTCAAGGGGCTGAAGGCCAGACTGCGAGACTTCACATGAGTTGGGGCAGGAGACGAGATGCTCGATTAGCGTTTCTCAAGAAGGAAAGCCGGAGACTGAGAAATCGCCGCTTTCTCGGGCCACTGATTTAACTGTCAAGGCCGCAAGGCCCCTTGAATCAAAGTCCGAAGCTTGATCCAACCAATGTAGGCACTCTGCTGCTGCGACGCCAAGGCATCTTTTTGTGCACTTGCGCAGGGCGGTTCTGCCTGGCGATATCAGAAGGCAACAAGCTAGTAAGACTATGGTGTAGGGGGCAGCTCTGTTAGCCGCAGCCCTAGCAAACCTCACAGGGTTTTGCAGAAGGCATAGGTTCAGGCTTTGGAACCTTACCCGGGAGAGGGACAAAGGCCACCACAAGCTTCCGTGCATCGATCCCGGAGTCGCTGACCCTGTTCGCACTCAAGCTGTCCGGTTCGAAAGGCTTATGATATTAACACTGACAAAAGTCTCCTAAAGAATCAGAGCAGTGTTTGTCGATCAAGCCCATGGCCGGAAGCGAGATGGCATTGAAATTTTGCACAGAGAAAGAGGGACAGGAGAGAGGGAGAGAGAGTGAGCGACGTGCTTGTGTGTGTGTCTGCCCCCGAAGATATGCTTATACACACATATTCGATGTATACACGTCAGTCATGTGTATACATTCATTCATTCATCATTCATTCGTGCGTTCATACACGCAAATATAGCACACAAATGCCTGCGCGTGCTTAAGCTCCCGTGCAGCAAACGGATCCTGGCAGATCCGACTGTGATATGGGCATGTACATAGGGCAAAGGCTGCACGCAAGCGCCGGCCCGGCCCTCACAGCTCACAGAACCTTGAAAGGCGGGCTGGCTGGAGATGGCAACATAGCATAATAGCATCTGGACACAAACTGCACGGAACCTGGAAGTGGGTGACAATCCGAGCCCCTGACTACACCTCTCCCACGTCTAGCAAAGGAGCCTGCCGGTCAGCGTTGACTCATTGGAGTGATGCACCATGGCAAACTAGCAGCAGTCGGAGCTCACGCCAGCGGGAATGTTGTACTTGTCGAGCACTAGACGGTAAGCTACGCCTCACTCGTCTAAATCCCTTTATGCCTGCCGTGATCTCCGTGCATAGGCCGAATGGAGGTCCTGGACATCCGAGCGCCACAAGTTCATCAACGTTCATCTGACACTCTAGTGAAGAGCACCAAGGAGATTGTCACTCATGCAGACAGCACGTTCTACTTTAGCTACTCGAAGAGCCGCCGCGACAATCGTAGGGAGTAGTAGACTGTTACGCACATCGAAACCGATATGCAGTCACACACACGCACATGCATGCACAGAAGCACTGCTATGCACCTGAGCATTTGCCTGACTGACACACAGATGCAGGGGCAGACAGACAGAGCGACAGACAAATCGATAGAACGACGGATCGATGGATGACTCGCTCGCTGGTTGGGCATATGGAGGATGGTGTTAGATAAAGAAACGAACAGAAAGATAGATTATTTGTGAAATACAGACACACAGACTACCACATAGATAATCTCACACAGGTACATGCGTGCAAGCACGAATGTGTACGTACCATAATGTGGAAACCTGTCGTTCGTCCGTTCAAGCCTTGGCCCAAAAAGGGTGCCATGTGGTCAATCACACACAGTCAGAACTGCTGGTCTTCGAAGGCGAGGACTGTACGGCACCAGTCAAAGTGTACTACCAGGCTTCGTACACGCTGCGACTCCCATCCCATCCCATGCCATGCCGTGCCCTCATGCAGACCGCCAGTCAGGCGGACAGACGGAGAGATCGAGAGAACAATGCGATGGCACTATGCGAGGGCCTGATTCTGGGACCTAATGAGCCAGTCAAAGGTGCCACGACTTCGTGTGCAGGACATGACACGAGGAACCGGAAAGCACCAGCACGACGACACTGGCTTCGTGCGCTCAGCAAGAAGATGCATGCTGCTTTCTGCAATGAGTTGCGAGCAAGGCGCCAAGCGACACAGTGGACAACGAAGCTTTCGGCCCACCCACTCCAGCAGGCACTCCTTCACTGGCGAGCCGACAAACTGCACAAGCAGAAGCTTCCGAGGGCTCCGACCCTGAACACCTCTGGAACCGCTTTGAGAAAGCCCGGAAACGGGTCCTCGTGGAAACGGTGGGAACAAGGGAGCTCTCCTTAGCCGTGCTGATCCGAGCTGTCTCAGACATTGAAATGGCAGCACATCAAACGAGAGTGTGATTTGCTTTCCCGTTTGAGGTCGACTCCTTTGAGACCCAGTGCGCTTCATCATGTCTGTAGGACACGCCTACATAGACACCAGAAGATTTTCGAATCCCGTTTATGATCCCGACTGAAGGGACCGGCGATCTTCTGAAACTCCCACGTATGCTTGGGTAGACAGATACTACACAATCCCGATTCTACTTGCCGGTTGCTCTTATTGCGATCATTTCGCTCTGACCGCCGCAAGTGACGCTGTTGTTCCAAACAGTGCTAGACCTGCGTGCAGTGTCATCATCCCCTTGTACTCTATCTACCCGCGGTTTCCGTCATTGCCTGGTCCTGTGACCTACTGCTGTGACGGTTAATGATGTTGTTCGTGCTTTATGTGTTCATGCTGGCACTGGTGCTGCTGGTGCCATTGCATTTGTAGTAGTCGTTCTGCTGCAGATGGCCATTTGTCACGATCACAACCATTCCGACTGCACTGCAGGTAAGCCGGGGTTCGCCATGCCCCCAGCAGCGCGCCGTCACTGCCAAGACAAATCGCACATTCCTTGCGCCAAGTCGCACCATGCTGTCAACTAACAACAGGATGCCAGCAATACGAGTACCGGCATCGAATTTTCTGAGCGCCACGTACCTAGCATGAAACGGAAGGAGAGCATTATGATTACATGCACTATACAGAGCAGGTACATGACAAAAAACCTATCTGAATGCACATAAGTGCATCGAGCCCGCTTGTCTGTACACACATTTATATGTATACTGTATACTGCATACTGCATACTGTATACTGTATACATTAATAATCTGCAGATTATGCGATTCCCACATGTGCTTGGTCGTGTATTTCTTCGTTTACAGATAGGCTTCCCCGCAGATATGCCGAAGAATGTGCTCTGGTACGGGTCTTGCTCTTTGTACGTTGATTCAGAATTTCACATACTTGTTCACAGCACATGCCTGCTCTCTTTCCACTACTTGCAGAGAGGACGTCCCACTGTCGAGCCCAAAGTCGTAGTCAGACAGGCAGAGGCTTCTTGGTGCTCTTTTGTAGGCAAGAGGCGGTTTCTGGGGAGACCTCGGGGGGCTGGTCCTCTCTGATGGCCTCGATCACCTCAAAAACAGGGATCATGGCTTGAGCGGTTTGGGGTTTCGGCGCTGTAGGCAAGCGGGAGACAAGTAGTGAAGACTGCCGATCAGCAAGACATTTGCAAGACTGCCTTCTGTGTCGAGAGAGTCCCCCGTCTTTGCAGCTGTTTGCCGTCTTACATGCCAGGCACGGAGAGAGAACTCAGGAACAGTTTTGACGGGTTCGGGGCTCCGAGCCGGCCTCTGTCACCGCAGATCCAGAGGCGCCCCAGCGCGCATCAATGGCACGGATCGCGGGAAAGATCGTGGCAGCACAGAGGCCCGCAATGATCAGCAACTTACAGGCAAAAGGAGTTCTTGAAGCAAGGGATCCTGCGCTGCTTAGCCGCTTAAGGCTTAAGGCGTAGCCAAGGTGCTCCCGCCAGACACACCAGGCCTTTTGCGCCAACTTCGTCCACAAACTGCCAGAGGGACGGGGCCTCTGCTGGTAGCTCTAGCATCGTCTCAAGCGGAGCTTCACAGCGAGAGCGAAGGCTGGCCTCGTTTCTGCAGTTGGCGGGTGTCAGCGCACCTGTCTTCTCTAAACTGGGGTTGGACAGGGCCCAGGTCTCGTTCTTCTTCTTATGCTTTGCAGTCTTGGAGCCAAGGGACGAACTAAGGTGCCTGTGGCCATCGCGAGAACACCCAGTGGCAGTGCCAAGGCCATGGAGGTGGTCAGAGGCAGCAACGTGGAGGCCTCAAAGAGCGCTTCGCTTCAAGCCGCACTGGCTTGCAGCTTGGGAGTAGCCGGGATAGATTCAGGGTCAGCGCAGGTGGAAGGCTCTCCTTTTGCTCAAGAGTGTGGATGGGTCGGATGGCGGCCGGACGAGCAGGTTGGGTTGGGTTGGATTGTGACGCTTTGTGCGGACGCCGCGACTTGCAAAACGGTGCAAAAAAAAAACGATGCAGTCACAAAGCTGCTCCCCTTCGGAAGCCCGAAAACCTGTAGTACTTTGTATCCGACCCTTGATGAACTGCAAATCGACTTACCACAGCGCTGTCCGCCTTGATGCTTTAGCAATCTCGAATATCACGACACTGAGAATGACTAGGGCTGCTATGTGGAATGTAGGTGCGCCCTATACACTTGCTCAAGCAATTGTGCTTCTATTTCTGACGCTTGGGGCAGGCTAGAACGACTTCCTCGTGCGAGCCAATTTCGTCCGAGAACGTCCAGAAATCCATGCGGCTGGGAGACGAGGTAGGCACTTAGCCAGTACTTCAGCGGCCGGCAGTGTGTCGGAACATCTGGGCCTGCACCGGCGCGGGCCGACAGCAAACTTCGTGAAGCTTCGACTTTGAGGAGTGCGTAAGCCGATTGATTCAGTCAGGTCATTTGAAGATGCTGTGCAGGTTGCCGTGACTGGGACCATAGCATATATTACTATTATTACTATTACTAGATGCTGTCCACCGTTTGCCCCGATCAGGCTCGACAATTCTCCCTCTCGAGAACGATACTTTGACATCGGCACCACGCCTGCGCCGTACAGGTTCCAACCATCCTTTGACAACTGAGCTCACTCGTCGCACAACAACTCTGCTTCCCCCTACAAGACTTCTTACATTGCCAACATGGCGACCTGTGCCGAACAAAGGTCGGACCTTGATCTCTTCCATCCTTGCGCTCGTGCAAGCTATCAAGCTATTGCCTGCCCAAGGCTCCACGGCGCAGCATGCCTTTCCGAGTTTGGAGGGTGACTCGGGTGAGTGACTGCAGGCTGAAAGTCGACTCTCTGCCTTTCCCTCCCTCCCCGGCCTGGCTAAGAACGCAAAGAAGGAAGGAGACGAAGCAAACGCCCAGCGGGCAGCGGAGCCGGCGCACCTGCAGATGGCAACAGCTGGCGGACCCTCTCGCTTGGCCGCTTGGATTCTCTTGCCTCGCGAATCAAATCCTCGGGTGGCGGACCCTCCGAGAAGTCGTGGCTGTGGGGGAAGGACAAGGCTTGCAGCGCACTCACCTGGCCAAAGGCGGAGCCGCGGGCGCTGTGGGCTGGGCGGGGTTCCATTTTGGGAGAAAAGTTCCCTTCCCTATAGACTTCCACCTGCCTCAGGGCCGTCCTGTAGCAGCCGCGAGACCTGGAAACCTTCCGTCACGACTGTTCAGAAGAAGTCACCGCAGAGTGTATCATTCTTCAACACGTACAAGCAAGACCGGAAGGCTTCAAGCTTGGCAGACTTTCCCGGTCCAAGCCTGCAAGACCGAGAATGAAGTCCGGATCCGACATCGCTGTCAGCGTCAACACAGCATCGGCAATGGGGGTGGGAAAAGGGTTAGGCGGGGTGGGTGAAGATTCAGATTGGTATTTTGGAATTGGTGCAGGATCACATTGACATGATGAAGCATTTCCAGACGAAAGACTACGGGCTATTGGTTGGTACCTTGCATGGCGGTGCGGGTTTAACATGCTAGGCTCTTCCGCTTGCTCCGACCAAATCTTACTATGAGCATGCTGGAAGAAAACGGCTGATGGAAGTCGAGAGCGACTGCAACGGATGGCACCAGCAATAGCTTGAGTGTAGCAGCCTGTGGCAGGCTCGAGGCCAGGGAAAAACATGGCTTAACAAATGACGCCAAGCCGAGCGTATCGATGTCTAGCGTCTAGCCACATCTGCAGGAAAGCCCACAGCACAGCTTCCGTCCGGACGCGAGATGAGGACCGAGGGGATGTTAATGTTCGAACCTTAGCCATAAAGGAACTGCTTTGCTGGGCGCGCACCAGCAAGCGGCCAGCCGCGAAGGTTTTTGACTGCGAAAGTTGAGCCTGCTTAGTTTAACAGTACTGTCTGTCTGCGAGAGCAATGCGCTGCTCGAGCTACAAAGGCGCATCAGCTTGGAGGATGTACTGTCTCACCCTGCCATGTTCAACCATCTGACCGTCCTCCTTCTTAGGAGCCCGGGCTGTGGATCTCAGTTTCTGGGGTCAGGGCCGTAGCCGTCATCGGCGACGATGATGTTGCGAATGTCTTGGGAAGTCAGGACGGAATCCTGTATGACTGCACTCACGAGAAGTAGGAGGAGTGCATGCCGCAGTTGAGTCTCAAGCGACCCGGGGCAGTGACGAAAGAGAGGGGAATGCCCATCCGTCTATGGACTGTGTCTATCTGGACTAATTCGGATAGCACTGCCACTCGTCCAGCGCTGCAAGCTCGACTGCGAGGTCCTTCTTGTCTACGATAATCACTGCATGCGCCTGAGAAGTACAGAGGGAAGGACTCAAGTCTTGCTGGACAGGCTTACACCGTCCTTTGGAGAACGAGAAATCTTGGGAACGTGCTATTCGCAAACATCGCAAACCGTCATCGAACACAGCTGCATGTGAACGAGAGACAGACTCGACACAGGCCTGACCTCTCAAACAGGAGTCGCAACAAAACGAAACGGAACGGCATGCGCACACGGGTGGCCCACGTCCTTTCGAGGCGGAAAGGAGCGGATCATGCGCTGACAAGCGCGGAGTAAAGTTGACCCAGGTGTTCAAGTTATTGTACGAGGAGGACAGTCCGAAACGTTGTTGGGGAAGGCTCTGGTCTCGCAGGCCACCCACCAGATGATTCAACATATCACAGACCGAACCAAGGCGATGGCATGCTTGCGCCTCGCCACCTTCACCTGCAGCACTTCTCTCATCGCACCATTCGGACACACGCAGCCTTGGCCTTGGCACCACCGCTGCCTTCGTGACGAAGGAGCAACCACCGCGCTCCACGAGCACAATGTTGATGAGCGAAACCTGATGCTAGACATGAGGTGCCGCAGATTCAGATGTGGCAGCGAGCCCTAAGCCGAAGAGCCTAGCACCGATCCTTGAAGATTATGCCGACATGTCTGCAACAAGACCAGGACTTAAGCAGCGCCAGGCGCCTCCTTGTAGCTCTTTCCTTCGGGAGTGTACTCCGAAGGCTCCGGCACGTCGTAATCGCCATCCTGCGGGGCCGGTTCTGAAGAGTAGAACCACGTCAGACAGAGGTCTCTCTCGGAGGTCGGAGGCCCGTCCGTGCAGTGCAGCTCCCCCTTGGAGTCGCCATACACGAGCCGCCCTAGGAAGCTGTCGCCGTAAAACCTCGGCAGCTGGAAGTCCAGCACAGAGGAAACACAAGCGCCACGCCGCTACTAGTACTTCTCCGTCGTTCCGAGAGCTGAAAGACCGGTGCACACTGTCACTGGCACCAAAAAGGCTCAGAAGCACCTTCCCGTAAGAGCCCCAGGGCTCGAGCGGGGCTCCGAAGGTGGCCGTGGATCCATCGATCCTGTCAAGTGAACCCGTGCAGCTGCGAGCCTCAAAACATCGATGTCGGGCGGTCCGGGCCTGCCGCCAGTTTGCTGGAACTCCTGTTTGAGCTTGCGCGGCGCCACCACCCTCACCTCGGGCATGCACATGGTTTACCACATTCGCGAACGCGCCGTGAATCGCTGCACCAGCTGAAGCTTGCCCATGAACCGGCTCGGGAATGGAAAGGAACGGAGAGACACACACACAGACAGACGCACAGACAGCACTTCTACACCTATTTCGAGCTCTCCCTGGCCCTTAAGAGGCCCAAAGCAAGGCGGCCGCTTCGTAAAACCGCGGGCCTGCGCTGTCGCTGTCTGCGGCGCCAGAGGCCTCAAGGAAAACACCAGCAAAGCCACGTTGATTCGTAGGGGTAGGACGGCTTACGATTGGAGTGTCAGGGAATGGCCCGTTTGCAGGAGGCTGGCACTTCAGCCTACCAGATGTGTGCATTGAAGGACCGCCAATTCAACGATTGAGTCTGCTGACGATAGCCTGAAAACATTCCTGCCAGTCAGAGGTAGAAGGGCGTTGACAGATCAGCTCCAGGCAGGAGCCATGTCAGCACGGCCCAGAAGCTGATCTTGCCAGCAAGGACAATGTGTCTCACATCGTGTCTCGGCTAGACTCCACATCAGGGATTGTGCTCGCAAGACAGCAGTTGGCCTTTCTTCTTCAAACGGGTGCTAGGAGGAATTTGCCAAGGAGCGCCGGTTGCGACGTGAGGTGTTAAGAGTTCGGAGTGTGTCAACAGGATAAGCTCCTCAACATCTCCCCACAAGCAGGCACTTGGAGCACCGTGCCTTCGCGGCTGCCATCTTGGGCAAGGGCCGCGAAGATTCAAAGAAGCCAGCGGAAAAGGATTTCAGTTAGGTTGTTGACAACTCGTGGCAACTAGTACTTTCTCACGTGGCGAAATCTAGGTGTGTGCGCCGACTTCTCGACGGGATGAGGGGCTTGGAGGTCAAGATTGGGGCCTGCACTAGATGTGTGGCTGAACATGCTAATCCATACGAGTTCAAGCTCCGCAACTCATGCTTTCTGTTCCCAGAAAGGGCGCTATCTGGCCGTCTACTCAGTTCTGAACTCAGCAGCTGAAGAATCCGGGCAACTCTGCAACGTGCAATGCCAAAGTGCAGCACTAAGTGACAATAGCAAGGTCTCTGCGCGGGAGATGCCTAGTTGCTACACCATCTTGCAATCTCTGGAATTCACCGCTTTTCATACTCTTCCAATTGTTCATGCTTGTTGCAACACCTTCAGCTAGGCCTCATAGGGGAGCTCAAGTGATTGGGGATGAGGAAATGCATGGCCGATGAAAAAACAACACCGTAGAGTCGGGCGAGATTGTTGACTACAGGTCTCGGATGCTAACATCGCAAAATTCCTGGAGGCAGACGCTCTCTTGGCATGTTTTTTGGCGCAGGCCGTTATCAGCACCACTGCTGATAGCCATTGTTCACTGCGAATATGACCTGCCATGCGGTCGTCATATCTCTGGAACACTGGTCTTCACCATGAATACCAAACAATAAAGTTGACTAGACTGCAAGTCTCGAAGACTGAACTCACCTGCTGCAAGTGCTTAACTCGACATGAGCATTTCTCGCAATTCAAAACCAGTCGTTTCCCGGGCCTTTCCGCCAATACCCATCTCGATGCAGTCCCGATGTGAAACGACCTCTGTAAAGCAGAATTGAGATTGGCACAGCACAGCACGAGAGCTTCAAAGCTGAATTTCAGCGGGCGTTGCACTCGGCTTGTGTCTGTATCAAGGGACAATGGAAAAGGACTTCGCGGTCGCCGCGGTGCCTGAACTTCCTCTTGCTGACAAAGCTGCTCCCACTGGAGTCTGCATAATCCAAAGACCAGTGTTGTACCTGCAGCTAAGGACCAGCTGCAAGCATTCACACGTTTCACCCTGCAAAGCTTCCTGGATCTCACGTGGCTTCGCTCATTAATTCATGGTGAAGGGTTCGATCGTTTGACGCAGGAAGGACACACTACGTCACTACACGTCGCTGCAAATCAGTCCAGCCCCTGCCCTCGTTTCGTGCTCACAACGTCGAGCCCAACCCCTGTCACCAGTCCAAACATAACGATTCTCATCCCACGTAACACTCTGCTAGACTGGAAACAGACCTTCTGCACCCGAAAACCCTACTGCACTAGTCCAGCTTTCCAAGCATACTTTACTAGACAAGCTGACCTACCCACCAACTGTGTAACAAACTGTACCTACCAGACCTACTGGGCCTAGTCACTAGTTTAGTAGACCTCCTGGTCCTACACTACTCTTATGCTGCTGCTGCTGCTGCTACTACTACCACCACCACCACCACCACCACGACAACTACTGCTACTACTACTTACTACTAACACTGGCACTACTAACACTACTAACACTACTACCACTACTACTACTACTACTACTACTACTACTACTACTACTACTACTACTACTACTACTACTACTACTACTACTACTACTACTACTACTACTAGTACTACTACTACTACTACTGCTACTACTACTGCTACTACTACTACTACTACTACTACTACTACTACATCGGCGACTACTACTGCAACTAGGGGGGACAGGGGGGACTTGCCTGCGGGATGAGGGGGACGGATGGCTCTCAAGCAACCCACATGTCCCGTCGGGCTAGCTGTGAACACTTGAGGCAACTGCCGCGTGCGGAACTTTAGCTCGTGCGGAAGCAACCAGATGTCACGGCCTCAATCAAGGGTGGCACGAAGGTCAGGCTGAGGTCGTTCGGGTTCGACCATTGCGTGGACTTTTCCGGATCGCTCGAAGAGAGCACGGGTCTTTTTGGGGCAAGCGGAGAAGCTGGATTCGACACCTCAGACCTAGACAACGACTACCATGCAAATCTCAGGACCCAGCTTGGCTTGGACACGACACGGATGTTCCGTATCACGGGCGCCCCCTGTCACTCACAATGAATGAAGCGAGCGCAGTCCAGACCGCAGCTGCGACCATTCTTGGTCCAAGCTCGAGCATAGCCTGGTAATGTTTCAGCAAGATCGTTATCCTGTTGCCCTCCACGGTGTAGCCACGGATAAGGCCCTCCTGCTCAGAAGGCAAGCGCAAAAGCTTTGCATTCCGGGTAAGAGATGGTAAGAGTCCAGCACTGTGCCAAGTCAGCATCTAGCCTGCCCTGCAGACACACAAGCTACAGGATGCAAGACAGCACTTCCTCAAAGGCAGGGGCGCACAGGGCAAGCACGTTGTTTTTGGCACGTTGCCGGTGACTTTTGCACGCTCACGGTACTCCGCATCTTTCCTCAGCATTCCAGCTTGACTATTGTGTAAAGGGCATAACTTGTAGCTTAGCAGCTTTGTGAAGGAATGTGGAAACACCAAGGAACAGCAAGCTGCATGCAAGCTGCTGCATGCCGTTGGTTTCGGCGGCCCATTGCCGCCAAATGGCGACGTTTCCATCGTGGCTGGGAAGCCTCATCGACGAGTGCATTGATCTGCGAGCGTCTCATAGCCACCACACCTCAGGGGAAAGCTGAAAGCTGCGGCATCTTCTTGGGACTCGGAGCTCCTCGGAGCTCCTTCGCGCCCAGGCACTTCGCCGTGTGATCGCAAAGCTGGTCGAACTGCGCCGGGTCGTGCTCCAGGTTGCTGTGGACGATCTCGCAGCCGTCGGCCTGGAACCCCCAGAGCTGTGTGGCCCAGGAGACATTGAGATTCTGATGAAAGATGAAAGATGAGGATCTGACTTCGTTGCAGTAGAGGTTGAACAAATTGCAAAAGTTCGTAGAGAAGTCGCACAGGCTCTTGACCTTGACGCGAGGCATGCTCAAAGACGAGCAAGGCCCCAGGGCCGATGGAGGACCCTTCAATCCTGCCTGACTCTCCGAGCACGCCAAAACGTGGCAGTCCGACCCGTCCGTCAGATACCGAAATCCGAAGAGGTCCGTGAAGGGGCCTGCTTTTGGACTGTACTGCGCTGTTGTACCAGTTGCAGCATCGTCAAATTGGCTCCGCGAAACTACTTCTCACGGAGCTAGCGAACTCGCAAGGCTAGCAGTCTGGAGGGTTCCGATTATTTTGGACATGACGGCCGTGCCTGGGTCTGCAAACGGGCTCGTCGCCCGACTGGCCTGCGAGCACTCAAAGAGCTAGCTGCATGCTGCTATGAGTGATAGGAACAAGCACCGGGACTGGGAAGCAATGGCATTAGGACTGAGCTGTAGGTTGTGCCTTGGTGCAGACGCCAGTCTCAGAGACCAAGAGGGTGTAGTTACCTGGTGAAGCGGCTTCTGACTTGACCTTCAAACTTCAAACCGCAAAACTCACTGTCATGCAGATCCAAGCTGCCGCGAAGCTTCTTGCGATCCATGTTGAGGCCAATTCGTGCCTCTATCTCCTGCCAAGACAAGACATCGCAATGCGGGTTGAGCATGAATTATGTAGAGGTCTGAGCCGGAAGACGACCACCCAAACCAGCCCAAAAAAATCTAGCCCAAACTAGGCTCTGCCCTCCTGCAGCCCATGATTGCCGGGAACTGTGCCAAGACAGAATCAAGAAATCTCTAGATACTCGATCTGTCCGCCACGGCCCACGCCCACGGCTCCTCCTGAACACTTGCGCAAGAGGCTTTGAAGACCAGGCTCTCGGAGCAGGCGGCATGTTCTGTCGAAGGCACCTCAGTGCATCAGTGCCAAAAGGAGTCGAATGCTTCCATGGACTTCCTTTGCGCAGCACCGGTGAGCCCGGGCAGGCAGCATCCGTGAGGCCACAGTCCTCCGGGCTGAAGCTCCGCTTGAGCCCAATCGCCATCGCATGGCCTCAGAGTGCTGCCCGGCCGCCGGCCCATACGACATTAAACATTGCTCGCAGCTTGGCCTGGAAGGGTCCAAGCCAGCAGTATCCACCTGCCGGCGGCTTCCAACTCTGGCACCAGAGATCAGCTTCCATGCGAAATCTGGATGTGCTCAGGGCCTGTAGGGGTTTTGAAACAGTTGAAGCAGCACTATGCAGATGGGCATGCATATATACATACATATATATATATAAATGTAAATATATATATATATATATATATATATATATGATATATATATATATATATATATGTATATATATATATATGTATGTATATATATATATATGTATATATAAATATGTATATATGTATATATAAATATGTATATGTATATGTATATGTATATGTATATGTATATGTATATGTATATGTATATGTATATGTATATGTATATGTATATGTATATGTATATGTATATGTGTGTGTGTGTGAACCTCCCTAGCACATGGGAGCAGAGGGTCACTCCTACACTGTTTGCAATTTTTGTTTGCTTTTCAACATAATCAAACATTGGACATTTACCAAATCAACTGTTGCAGGGGCATTGGGCACTCCTTGGCAGACCCAATGCAACGAAGCTATGCCATGGAGTGGGAAGCAGTTCAGGACGCTGAACTGTGTACCTGCAAGCTGGGCCCCCTGAGGCAGCCAGATTAGAAAACGCTGGCCCCCTGAGGCAGCAAGATTAGTACATTTACGGTTTCCACCTTTTGCTTGAGCATAAAGCTTTGCACGTTTGCCGCAATCTGACAAGCTTTTGCAACAACATGCCTCTCTTTTTCCTCTTGCACTCGTCCTCTTGGCCGAATCCATCAGTGTGATCAGCGTGGGTCGTTGAGACTCCAGAGCAACGGCTTTCCGTCATGGCGCCGTGGTGACCCTCCGGGGAGACCGGTGATGAACCGGGTGTTCAGCCTTCGTTCAGATCGTTCAGATTCTCCCGATGCTACTTTATCTCTCTCTCTCTGATGCTCGCATGTGCGTCTGACATGAGTGCAGGTGCAGTAACCGCCGTCTAGTGCAGTAACCGGCCGCTAGTGCACAGGATTACCTCGCTATTCTGTCCTCTATTCGATCGCTTCTTTATTTTTCTCAGGGACCGCAAGGGCATGTGCAACTGACATGAGGGCAGGTGCGGTAACATTTGTCTAATGCAAGTGAAGCAGCGCTTCCTCCGGGAAGTAATCGGCCCTCTTCTTTCTCTCCGTCTTCGACCTCTCAAGACAACCAGGACAGCCTGCACTTTGCTTGTGCAACTGTGTTTGTTTCACCAACTTCGTTGCAGCTATGTGGCCGGATTATTTTACCACGCAGCCACCAGCAACACCATACGCACCAACAACCCGACCGGTGCTCAATCATTTCACCCGAACACCTGGGTACCGCAGTCACAAGGATACCCAGCAATGATGCCAACTGGCATTGCTGCCACTCAGCAGCACACACTGCCGACGCAACCCACTACGATCCCTGTTGAGCAGACGCACAGCTTCCCCATGATGCCATGTGGACACAATGCTCCTATACCACAGCATCCGATGGTATACACACAACTTAGCACACCACAGCCCCAGCTGCCACAACAACCTCCACCCCAGCAATTCATGTCGCAACATTCCCCCACTTTCTTGAACCCTGTTCCTTTGCCTACCCATCCAACAGTTTTTCCCACGAGCCCATCACCTCTGACACCGCATCACTCCCAGCCTGCCACATACAACATTCCTTTCACACCACCTGCTCCACAACCCCAACCTGCACCTTGCAGCATCCCTTCCACACAACCCGTTCAACAATCCCATATACCGCCGCCAACGACCCTCCAACAAGCTTCACCATCTCACCCCACCAATGTTACCACTACCGATGCTGCACACATTGCCCCGCAGACACCGGCAATCACCCCCCAACCCCAGCCAATAAGCACAGCCAACACCCCCTCTGTCAGCACATTGCCACCCACACAATCACCACCCGCTACGGGATCGGGAGACACTGACCCGCTCGCAGCACGTGCTTCTTCCCACCATCCTCCGTTGCCACGCAGGCGACGGCGCTCACCCACACGCAGCAGAACCCGCACCTTGAGCACTAGACGCCGACGACGCACACGCAGCAGAGCACGACCTGCCAGCAGCGGGAGACAGCACCGCCGACACAGACACCACCGATCCCGCGACACCCGCAGAAGTCGTTCTCGCAGGGACACCAGGCGATCTTCGTCGACACCTCCGCGGAACTCGGTTGTGCTCCGCAGCTATTCTACAGTGCGTGACGTTGATACCAACAAGTGGCATTACAGAGCCACACAGCTACGCCAGAGGCCACCCACCCCACCCAAGGTCCCACAAAGGACATTGGCCGCGCAGGTTCAGCGAATCGCCCTCCGCATCAAGGGCAGCCAAGCAGCACAACAGCAGCCCCCAGCCGGACAGGGCACCTCCTCCCGCCAACAGGCTCAGCACAATCCCTCCAGCTCCGTTCGGGCACCTGCCCCGACCTACGATGCATCAACAACCGCTGCCCCATCGGGTCAGCCAACCCTCGAACAATTGGGCAAACACAGCAGACCACCACAGATTGATGTGGTGCCATTTTCTGAGCTTTACGAGCATGAGAAGCCGACTCCTCACGCCGTCGACATGGAAGAAGCTCACAAACTCGCCAAAACTTTGGGCGAGATAGCTGCTGACAGCGATTTCAGGCAGGAGACTTTGGCCGAATTTGCACATGCAGTGCTACAATCAGGCACGCGATCAGCGTGCAACGAACTTGGGGCAGTGCTGACGCCAATATCGGACGGCGTGCATACTATGTTATTCATTCCTTGGGCTGGAGAGCAGCGTAGAGCTTTCGGCACCCGTGCCACTGACCCACCAGGAGAGTCATACATCTACACCGCCGGACACGGCACGAGCATTGCAAGTGCCGCGCGCATTATGCGCGAGGACTTGGTCCGCCCAAGTTCAGTCAGACACTGCTTCGACGACAAGTCCTACCCACCCATTCCCTCTTGCGTCATTTACGGGAATGCGACCCCAGGAGATGTATCGGAAAGCACGGTCCATATAGTAACCGATCAATGTACACGGCGGCCGAAAGGCCAACAGGGAGTGATCGTCATCGGGACAATACGGACTAAGTATCAGCATTACAAGATGACGTATCGGGACATGTATAGAGAGGCCTTTATCGTGGGGCGAAAGGGTGTTGTGCGGACCCCAGAGAAGTGGGGATTCCACTCGGGGCATTTCAGCATTGTTGGATTCGGCCTTATTCAGTGATGTTCTGTATTACTTTCTTCCTTCTTCCGAGTCTACCTTTCACTCTCGAGTATCATTTCTCTTTCAGGCCTGAATCCCGTTGCACATAGCTGTATGCAATCAAGCATTTGCTCCGACCCCGCTTTTGAGCCAAAGAAGAGACGATGCAGCTGCATGCTGGATGCATTCCACAAGTAGATGCTGACACTCAGGCCAACTATGTTGTCCATGCGCGTGCTATTTGCAGCTTTTGCAGTCACAGGCAATTGTAGTGCCCCATTGTGCAACCATGTACAAGCCGACACAGCCTCAGTGGCACACAACAATGCCAACAGGCATCATCGGCACAGCAATCAGTGCGGTGCAACGACAAACAGCTTCAACCAGCAGCACCCCAATGCACCCGATTTCCCCACCACCAGGGATCCACAACATCCCACCCCACACCTCACCCCAGACCCCAACCACCTGGGGTTCAGCTCACCCTTACAGCCACAACACCACTTTCCCCCCTTTCCCTCCACCCCCTCCCCCACCCCAGCAGTTTACCGTCCCAGCTTCACCCACCGCACTGCCAACCCCCACGCCTGCCACTCCCCAACACACATTTGTTAGTCCATCCCCGATGGCTACTCAAAACCCCAGCATTTCTTCACATACATTGCCTCAGGCCACCGTCACACCCCAACAACAACAACACACCAATCTTACGCCTGCAAATCCCCAGATACCAAACGACTTCGTTCAAACACCAGAGCATTGGGACAACAGACAGCTTTATGGCCTCAACCTACCCAAACACATTCAATCTACACCACATTCAGTGCACAACCGCACGGCAGGCATGCCGATCGCAACAGCACCATTGGTAGCATTTCTACGACACAATTGGTCATCATACTGGCTACGTTACGCCGCACACGGCTTTGACATCCATCTCACATGCAGCAAACATATCAGCGAAGCCGTCTTCACCACTGAACTTATGGGTCAACTCCGAGCACGGAGAATTGATCTGGACCAAGCAGCCACCGCATTCTGCTGGCAAGAGAAGCTCACACTCGCAAAACGGCCAGCGATGTCTCACCTCATCAAGGAATTGGTGTTATACCTGCAAGAGCTGCAGGACCAGTACAATGACGGCAACAAAAAGGACAAGCAAGATGTCAAATCAGACACAGACAACACACAATCCCAACCCACCGAATCTCCAACACCACCACAATCCAGCAAATCACAACCTCATCTTCCACTTCAATCTTCGCAGCCGGCAGAAGCAGACACTCTGGCTGCACACCGCATCAGTGACCTGGAAGCACGACTTTCAACAGCACTGGAGACAATCGAAGCTCTCCGTGCTCCGGCTGCAAACACTGAGGCACCCAGCACACCAGCACCAAAGAAAACAAAACGAACCACAGCACCTAGCACTCCTATCAACACACCCTCTCCACCACCTGACTCAATTTCCACAATTGAGATTTCCCCCACCACAACCAATCGTGGACAGAAACGAGCTACCATAGATGACGCCACACACAACGACACCAAGCTTACCACTGGTAGCCTTTCCCCTTCCACAACAACAGTTGCAGAACAAGATACCAACGCGCTACATGCTTCCCCAGCATCGTCATCCACCACAGGTATGCATTTTCCGGGACGCTCCCTTCTGGGCGCCAAGCGACAGA